AAAAGATAAATTAACAAGGTGAGCAAATATTATTACAGAAATTAAAGTGGTTAATATGGGTTTATTACTTTTAGGAATGCGGGGGTGTGCAGAAAGAAAATCTGCTCTGTGGTCAGCTGCTCCCAAGACATCACCTTGGGTGTTAAAAAACGTCTTCACTTGACACTCATCATGCAGGACCTGTTTGGCTTCTGCCACGCTGACATGCCACGCACCATCTGCCGGCTGCGGCACACAAGTACAGGGAATCAGCCAGCAAATTCCCATTTTTGTGCCATATTTACCCTGTGAACTGCTTCCACTCAGCTAACAGAGCCCTAGCAAAGGAGCCAGGCAAGTCACGCCGCCTCCGCACCTCCCTGCGGGCTTGGGGCGGAGAAGCCACCCTCCCCAGGCCACTCACACTGGCACCAAGAGAGAAAAGCCACCACGCTCACAGTCCTCTGGACCTCTGAGCTCACCTCGGATTACTCACAGCTTGAACTTCACAGTAATTTCTTGGGAGATCAAACTCGTTATCAGGCATCTTCTAGAGTCTACTACTACTTTAGCAGCTTGACCTGAGGTAACAGGTGATGACAAATGCAAAGGGAAGGAGAAGAAAAAAAACCCCCATGTATTTATAGATTTCAACATAAGAAAAGGCAGTAACTTCTTTCAATTAACAAGCTGTACTTTTTTTCTATCCATCAACAAGAAAACTATCTGGTCACTTGGGAAAGAGAACATTTGCTGCTAAATGTATTTTCTGAAAAGTGTCCACCTTTTAGTTGTCTTTGGTACAGAGCAAGTTTGTGACTTCACTTACTACAGCCAAGGCAGTCACAAGCTTTTTTTTGGAGGGGGGGCGAAGGTGGGTGGGGGGAAGACCACGTATAGTTCCTTGCAACACATCCACCCTCTGTTTTTTAGCATTTTAATGTCAAAATACGATGATTAACACCAGAAAAAATGTAGATAGCCAAGATGGAAAATGGGCGTAATTAGGAAATGAACTAACAGCAATAGTATTTTTGTAACTTATAAAATTATTAAGATCTTATTCAGCTGGAAAAGGTTATTATAATAATCACTCAAATTTGCAAACATTTCATTATAACCAGGCTGCTAGTATAAACTTGTCTATATTATGGTGGCCTACATTTGTTTCCAAATTCCAAAGCCACAGAAATTAATTTTTCCTGACAGCACCTCATTTGCAAGTGCACTCATGTTAACGGGTGAAATCTTGGCCTTGTGAAAATCAGTGGTGCTTCTGGAATCCTGCCTCAGCTGAAGCTGATGGCATCCACAGCCATCAACACTGCTGCAGGTCTACGCTGCTGGGGCAATTTCTGACAAAAACATTTTGTTAAGTAAAACATTTTTCTGTAGGAACATACTAAATTTATTAAGCTCTGACTGATAAAGTTTTTTTTATGCTGAGATGCAATATCTGGTCAAAATGAGAAACAGACGCAGTCTAGAACAGTCAGTGGGTTGATGAGGAAGATGCTGGCATGGGATGAACCAGGTTTTAAACTGTTTACGTTGTTTCCTGGATTACTGCAACCTACAGTAGGTCACTGCAACCTACAGTCTGAAAAATGGCTGAAAGTCAACACTCCTGGGCAGTTCAGAATTTCATAAATAATAAGGGTTTCATACCCAATTCTACCCTCCACTACTTTCAGGCAAAAATCCCCAATGAAGACAGAGCCTCAGGATAGTAGTCAGTGAATTACCACTTTGCCATGGTGGTATTTAGGATGAGAACCCTATTTTGCTGTGATGTATTCCAATTACTGTTAAACCTCTTTCTTCTCTTCCCCCTCAGTTCTCCCTTCTATTCTCTTGTAGATTTTTTTAAGCACACAGAATTATTAGCCAGTGACAGCAGTGTAATTATGTTGTGGAAAGCCTATAGGTGAATCCTTCAGAATCTGAAACCTTGTACTGAGGTACTCTAAAAACACACAAGTTTTTTTTTCTATAGCTCATAATTTAACCATAAATTACTTATTGATCATACGGATACCACCAAGAACATCAATCACAAGTCCTCTCTCTCAATCCTCCTCAATACTCCTGCCAGCCAACACCTGTGCTACAGGCACAGGTTTTTTTGCTTAAACATTACAATCCATGACACTGATCCATGACACTGTTTCTTGCGCTGCTCAGTTCACCTCCTTGCACATTAGCCAAGAAGTATCTGAGACACAAGCAAGCTGTAAGAGCTCACCATCATCAGACACATTCTTCCAGAAAGTCCTGCAGGTCTGTTTAGCAGAGCAGAGATTGGAGCTTCCTCCTCTAAGGAAATCCTGTTTCTACATCATGTGATGGAATTTCACAAAATATGTGTGTAAGATCCAGTGCCGCACCCCACCCCGCCCCGCCCAACCAAAAAAAGCCCCAGTTCAGAAAGGTCACAATATTTTTACTATACTGAGCATTACATTTAATCTGCCCATAACAGGTCAATGCCTCATGGGTGTCCTCATTCAAATGCCTCCTGTCCTCATTCCTCGCCTTGCCCGAATCTAGTTCCTATTTTGTTTTATTCAGAAAACATTAGCTGACCAGAGCCACTGGGAGGTCAGGAATGTCAGTCCCCTGGCAATAACCCAGTAGTGGGCAGACTGTGGGGAAAATGGTAAAAACTGCAGTTTTTCAGGCAGATACCATATGTGGAAGCATTATGTATGGGAATCTCCTACAGAACTAGACTGTTTTGAGTAAGTGTCTTACCCGCCATTTTAGCAGTTCTGTTTCCTAAGTAGACACCTAAGAGAAAGTCAAACCCATTATGCAAGTTTTTCCCCAAATTACATAAAAACAAATATGCAAACAGGATGAAACGGAGCATTATTAACTGATTAGTAATTGGGATCTTAAATTCTGAAGTCTTTCACAATGTAACAGTTAAAATCACTGGTTCAGAATGAAACGCAAGTTTTGTTGGATTAGCTATCCTGTAATTCATGGTCTATATTTAAAGATAAACTCATGGTGAAAATTTACTGAATTACACTTACTTTTCAAAAAGGCAGTATGAAAAAACATTGTGTAGAATTACGTAAGACCGTGTTAATCTTGTAACTGGAATCAACACTTTCTTAAGCTGAAGTTTGTAATCAGATACTTGAAGAGATGTCTATCTATAGACTGACACATATCACGACAAGAAACCAAAGAAAGAGCAAGTGATTACTATCTGAAAAACTTACCACAAATCACTCTATGAAAAGCAATGTTTGACATGAAGGTCTGATTTGCATGCCTATTTCTACACTGATTGATAGCGTTCACCTCAGAAGGCTCTTTTGCTTTTGCAGAAATTTCCCAAATAGGGTCTTAAATATCCATGGTAGACTTGAAAAAATGAGAGTCATCCTCATCTGATCAATAGGGGAATGTTAAATACGATAAATAAACTGGATTTATGACCTTTCAGTTTTATTCTGTTATATACACAGAAGGTATTTTTATTTAAAAAAGGAAGAGAAAAGAAAGGAAAAAAGTTTGTCTAAGCTGCTTTTCGTGGAAGCCTGTATGGATGACTGGAGAACTAGTATGATGCAAGTCTCAGAAGCACCAGAAAAGTTTCAATGCTTAAAAGAAGAGATTATTAATCTGGTTTTGCTAACATTGTAATTAGAAAGTAATGGCAAACAGCTGAGATGAAATATTTCTCACAGATCCAGATTTGCTTATCTTTTCTAAGCTTTTTTTTTAAAAAAAAAAAAATCTGGGGAAAAGAGGGAGTTGGAGAGTAAAATTACTCACTTCTACCAGTCTGTCCCAATTTCTCTACATACAAACACTCATAAAGGAGGAGGAAAGGGCACAGACCAAATGTTACTCCTTAAGCCTGATCTCTGTCATTTAAGCTTGCAGAAAAGCATATGTTCATCACAGTTTCTTTAGAAAATGTATGAACTTAGGTCTCCAATTATCTGGTAGAAATGCCTATTCAGCTTTAACCCTCTCCTTAGCCTCCATTAAGGCAATTGTATCTCTTTGGCTAGAACAGTCTGGACACCCGGACTGGGACAAAATAAAGGGCACAGACTTACGAACTGTGCAGACGTGCTATGTTGTGTCAAACTGGTTTAATTCTGAGAGACGGGTTGAGACTTTCTGCCCTGTTTTGACGTTCGCACATAAACTATAATATTTGGCACTGCATACCTTCAAGCTTTTGCTGTAATCCCAAAATAAATGCTAGTTTATTACAATTCAAATAGCAAAACATTGCAACATTATCCTAATACCCTAACATTTGAGCCAGATATTTCAGATAGTTTGCATAGTTATGAAAGACCGATTCCAAGGAAAATTTACTCACACAGAGCGGGACCAGAAGCACTGGCCAAAAAAATGAACCTGAGCCCAGAGCATTCATCACAGCACCACAGTGTTGAGGTGCTACTTGCGGACTCAGGGAGAGGAGGACCTGTGTCCTTTCCACCCCCGCTTCCCCCTGCCCGCAGCCCTGCGCGCTCCAGCACCGATCCTGTCCCACGGAGGGCTGCACAGGGTTCTGCAGCACGTAGGAAGAACGCCCCGTATAAGGTTTCTCCCTTTATCTCGCATGACACCGCAAACATTTGATCTCTTCTGGTCTGCAAGTGTTTCTAAAAATCCATGAGATTTGGGCTCTGTGGCTCACACTTGTTTCATGGGAAACAGATATGTGATATATTTATACACGCTAGTGGGGAAGAATTTAGTAAACCCACTGTTTTGAGGTACTAGAGACCAGACACTTTTAAGACAACATGACTTTTCCTACAAAGCCTGTACATTAAAAATCTCCGCTACTTCTTCTGCCAACATCACTACATAAATGAAGGTAAAAGGTGGATGGTGATTTTAAAACAAAGATCAGGCAACAAGATGGTGAAGAAGCCCATGATTTGAAGCTCAGGATATTCTGCATCCATATGCAAAACAATAATTATTACTAAAGGATACTAATAAATTAATCATAACTCAAAGTAGAAATTAGCTACCTTCAATGCTCTGTGGACCAACTAGATTCATAGCCTGGTGCGCTGGATATTCTACCCGGGGTCTGGCAATACCCAGTTGTTCCATAACCCCATGGAGGAGCCTCTGAATATCTGCTTCAGAAACTCTGTCAGGGGTCCTAGGGCTGTGGCTAAAAGCTGAAGCCAATCCAAATGCCAGCAGAAATATCATGTTACAAAGCAAGGTAGCTGTCATTCTGGTAGCCACTTTTATCCTGTGAAAAAGAAAGGAATTTGATTATAAATGATAGTGGAAGAAAAGTCCAGTACGCATGCTGGAAATAAATCACTTCTAATCTTACTACTGCACAGTTTACTACCACAGCTTCTAGGGGCAGCTGAAAATCTATCCAGCTGGAAAATGGGGGCGGGGTGGGTGGGATGTGAGCAGGGGAATAGGGTGGATAGGTTCTTCTCTTCTGAAAAAAATATTAAGTAGCAAACTGCAAAAATCAATTTCCTGATTTGCATTTGCCCATAACATTCATTAACAGTCACTGCAAACAAAATGGATCCACTGTTTCATTTAATGAGAATGTTTCCCCCCCCCCCC